GTCTCCTCCTGCATGTGGTGAATCCATAAAAGAGTGAAGCCATGTAGCTCAGGGCCGCATGAGTAGAGGCCCAGCCACCAGGTGCCTGTCAGCAAGCCTCTCCCCTATAGGCCTGGCTCCAGTGTGGGCTCCTGGTGATGGATATTGAACGTCTTGCTGTCTTTTGTCCATATCATGAATCACTTATTGATTTGTCCTCTAGGACCAATCTGAGACCCTACCATATGCACATGCCCCTAACAGTCCTAAGCCAGAAGCCCTAAGACCAACTAAGTACTCTAGTTTATGTGTACAATTGCAATTCATTTATTTAGTTTTTTTATTAATCAACGAATTAAAAAAGGAAAAACCCTTACATGTAGGTAAAGATATCTTTCAAGCTCTCATTTTTTTTTTCTTTGACAAAAATCTCAAAAACGTTCCACAGCCAAATTTTAACATCAGACAAGCATAGTAATGATTTCAGTTAATATTTTATTAAATTAACATACAGCAAGACAAACTTTCTGCAGAACCCAAAGTTTGATATTTTAGTTTTTTAGCACTTGGAAAAAAGTTTTTCAACTTTTTTTTTTTTCATAAAAAGCTTTACTTTATCCTGTTTGCTAAATGTAAAAGCAGGAATAAATTGGTAATGAACTGAAATGGAAAAGCAAAATTTCAATGATTTCGTACAAATTGTATGTTGGTGGATGTATACAAACTGAAAGGTGGTGAAAATTCAGAAACTTCTTTATAAAAAATAAACAAATGCTGTTACAGAACATAAAATAGCAAAGAAACTAATATTTTCTCCTCATCTCAGCTAGATAAGCTTAACGTGACCATGAGTTATTAGCTCTCTGCAAATATAATGTGTTGTTCAGCCTTTCATTCAACCTTTATTTAGACAGGTAAATCCCATTGAGCCTCGAGGACTCATTTACAAGAGAGACCTGAAAAGACACATCACAGATGGGGTAGTCTGATATCAATGCAGGGCTTGAAAGGGGTTCATTTCATGGGGCTTTTACTAGTAATTTTGTCAGGAGTCACACTGTGCCAGAATGTATCTCAGGGAAAGAATGGCAGCTCAAATGAAAAGTGAGAGTCGGTGAGAGTAAATGGGCCTGACATCGTGAGAGGCTCTCTCGAGTCTCTGCAGTCCGTCATTCAGCAGCTTCTGTCTGAACAGGCGACAACAAGTTCTCCATCACAGCCTGTACATCACTCCTCATGTAAAATCAGTTTACAAATGATGAGGGAAATGAAGTAGCTCAAAAAGTTATTGTCAATGGTAAAGTTCCAAAGATTTGTTATCAAAGTAATTATATGTTTGATTACTGAATGAGGTAATTTCACACAATATGGAAGTTAATAACATGCTCCTAAATAAGTGTCTGTTTTTCAAGATTTTCAAATCTATTAATAAACTAATGGATAGATGAGGCCTGTATGTATAAAGCTTTCTGCATAATAGTGGCTGCATTACTGTCCCTCCTTTCACTCACATGCCAGTCATTTGTTCCTGCTTATTTTTCAGTATACATGAGTACATTTAAATATTTATTTCCTACTGGACCTTCAAGCACGACATCAGCATTCACCCTGCTCAGCATTCAACCTCAGAGTCGCTCAGAGATCTAATCAGCCCAAGCCATTAAAATCAAAGACTTGGGTCCTTCTCACTGGAGTGAATTTCTCTCTTGTGATGGCTGCAGACAACAGGGAATTTAGGCCAAGGTCTGAGTCCGATAACATCTTTTCCTGTCTTCAGTTCTGAAAGGGGAAGGTCTGCTCTTTTTCTCTCTGACATTGAAAGCAGACCTCCAACTCACTTTACTTTTTGCTTGGTCATGAATCAAACACACAATATAAACGCCAAACAAAAAAACTTTGAAAAAACAGAGGGGGGGTGTCACTATTATTTGCTTTCCTTTAGATTTATCATCCTCTGTGGCTGCAACATAAAACTTGTGATATACACCATCATTACAGGGTTGTTGAGGACGTGGTCCTTTAATTTATGAGACTGGGCCTGCCATAAAACCTTTGTTAGACATTTCACGTTGCAGTTTGATGTATCGTAATTATTATTTGACAGCATTGTTCAGAATAGTAAAGCGTATTGAAATAACGCATATAATAGAGGTGGCACGAGAAGATTTAGATTCTTTTTATTGTTTCTGTGTTTTTAGGGCCTTTTTAATAAGATTTTTTTTTACTGAATTTATCATTTTTAATGTATTCAATTGAACCAGCCATCAGTCAGCAGGTGAGAGGTAGAGCACACCAGAGGGCTATATTACAAACCAAGTTTAATAAAGCAAGACTTTCTTCCCTTAGCCTGGCTTGACAAAGCATAAAACTCTACTGTGAAACTACAAGTACTACTGGTGATTTTGATGTTACTTTGGTAACACAGACCTGCTTTAAGTCTGGTGCACATAAAAAGGAAGCATACATGTCATTTGATTTTTCTATTCATACACTAATCCCACAAATAAAGTTTGAAAAAAAAAACCTCTCTTTGCCCAAGACTTTCTTCATAAAGGACGGCAGATTGTATGTACTTTGTGAATAAAGCGTATTTAGGGAAGTGAAGAATATATAAATTCTAACAAGAAAACACATTTGCTACAGTTATAGCAAAATACTACATGCTGCTATTTACATCAGGGATAGAACGATCTAAAACTTTTAATTCTACAGTCAACAGGTTTATTTATCTCTTGACACTACTTCGTTTTAGAGTTGCATTCTGGTCTAAAAAACCTGATCTGACCTGGCCCGTAGCCATTTTTCCCAAGCCCGACCCGACTAATTAACTAATTACAGGCCCAAACCCGAAAGAAAAAACGGAAATTTTTTTAATCAAGCTTTTACTATCATGTCAAACTGATTTGCAGTAAGCAAATCAGTTTGACATGATAGTTTTAAAAACATATTTCAAAGAAAGGAAGATATAAGATTTCTTGTTTATTAACAAGTCACCAAATGGATATTAACATACAAAACAAACAGCCTAAAAAACTCAACTTTAAAGATAGGCTATTATACAGATGAACAAAAATATGTTTAGAGCAAAATTATTTGGACAAATAAAGAACAAGGCTATTTTAATTGAACGCGCTGCTCGCTTCAGCTTTTGTGCTTCAGATGCTGCAATTTCTTCCACCCCAAGTGACAGCAGGTGGAGCGGGACATGTGCAGTCGATGATCCGGTTGTCCATCTGAAGCTTAACGCAACTTTTTTTTTTTACCTCTTTCAACCGCCAATCGGACCTGAGTGAGCATGCACCTAATCTGACTCACATCAGCAGGTTTCACTGTGCCGGCTTTGTAGAGTGAATTCTTCAGTTTTTAGCTTTTGTTTAATACTTTCTTGTTCCATTATGTCGCTTGTTGTGGGTCAATTGCAAATCCTTAGATAAGAGCAAAGGGCGGGTGTGACCACATGTGCAATTAAAACCACATCAAAAGCCCGAGTTCGACCCGGCCCGCCCGTCAAGCACATAAATTTGGTCTGACACGGCCTGAATTTCGGGTCAAGTCAGGTCGGGCTGGGGGCTCGGGCTGGGGGCTCGGGCTAAAAATCACAGCTCTACTTTGTATTGTTTAAGTAACTAAGTATTCTCTAAGGTATAAAATCCCAACAAAATAATGCTTTCATAAACCACTCGATAAATTCAGACAAAATATGAAAGTTTCATTGTACATCATCAACTTGACATTGTTCTGATGTGTTACTTTGTACAAACCACACACTTTTTACTTAACGGCTCTATCTGCAGCTTCTTAGTGGTACACACACAAAGAATATGGAATATGAGTTCATTCAAGTTTCCAAGCATATTCTTCAGCTATATATAATGCTGAGAATAATGTGAGGTAATTTAAAAAATGTTCTCGTCAAATATGTATATTTTTTTAGATTTGAATGGCTGTGTCTATATGCTTAAATTGAATGATTAAATGGAAACATGTTCCTGAACAAAACATTGTTTGTGAATAAATTTGACAGTTTAATGCTATCATTGAGGGAGTGGTAGCGCAGAAGTTAAAGGTGGGCCTGTGATCGGATGGCTGCCGGTTCAACTCCCGGTACAGACAACATTAAAATATGGGTGGGTAAGATGAAACACCTACACCTGCCTAAACCCTTAATTGCCCCACTTTGGGCCCTTGAGCAAAGCCCTTAACCCCCACCATCTGCTTCCCAAGCAGCTCTCTGCTCCACACAGAGGGCTGTGGTATCTTGGTGGTCTGTGGTTGTGTCAGAAAGGGCATCCAGCGTAAAAACAATTGCCAAGTCTTTGTGTGAGTTAGTTCACTGTGGCGACCCCTGAAGAAGAGAGCAGCAGAAAGAAGAAAATAATTCAAACATCATCTAAATTCCATGCACTTGCCTAACATGGCAGTAAAACAAACAAAAAAAGTGTTTTTTTTGACAATCTGACTTATTTTGTTTTGCAGCCTTGATAACATCCATAGGTTACAGTCTGATGTTTGTGAGATATGAGTGGCCTTCAGACTGACGGTTAAACAAAAGGGTTACCATGGAGATAAGAAAAAGCTTAAAGACATCTTTTTGCTCTGGGGACTGAAAACTGCCAGCTCTGCTTGGGAAGTAGGAAGTCTCAGTTAATAGTATACCCTTCTGGACAAGTCACCAATTCATTGCAGGACTGCTGACTCAAGTTCTTTCCGATGTGAGGCTACTGTGATAAACACCACACCATCGTCCAGCTCCTGCAGAATTTCAGATGTTATTTTATTTTTTTAAACAGTTGTATGTTTGAAATCAGACTGTTTTTCTAGCAAAAAGATAATTTGCTGCAGTTTATGTGAAGAAAGTACCTGTTTTTATTTTTATTTTTAAATGGATTAGGATAAAACAGAATTCACACAGTGTCAGACACAGACAAAGCTGCCACATATGATTTTTAACAGACGTGTCTCCATATAATATTACTCTGTTCTAACTGTATTTCTTCTACATTTTTTCTTTGTGTCCTCAGTACTTTGTCCTGCTTTTATGTATCTTCCTGTTGGAGATCCTTGCTGGTGTCCTGGCTTGTGTCTACTATCAGCAGGTAATCACATGTTTTAATACAATGAAATAAAGAAACAATCATAGTGTAGAATATATGTGTTTGGTCGAAGAGTTGCAGTAATGGAGAAGCTGACATATTTTTATAGTTTTCATGGCAAATGTGTAATTTGGAAATAATCAGAGAGGTTAGAATGTTTTTGTAGCAGCACAGTCCTAAATTTATCTCTGGTATCAGTGGAAAGTGCTTTTACAGAACTGGAGCCATTTATAAAAAGTCTCTCCTAAAGGATTGGCGGTACTGTGTAAGTTTTAACTTCGAGTAACAAATTAGTTCTGTAGTAAAGAGATTATTTTATTCAAACTGAGGCTTTTATATTAGGCAAAATTATTTTGATCTTTTATCTGTTTTAAATGGATAAATCACACTTTTCTTACCTCCCATCTGGATTATTGTGATTCTGTATGTTGGTGATCATCAGGCCAGCCTCTCCTGACTGCATTAGTTCAAAACGCTGCAGCTCGTCTTTGAACAGGAACAAAAAAGCATGAACTTATCTTCCTGGTTCTGGCTTCACTTTACTGGCTCCCTGTTCATTTTAGAATTGATTTTAAACGTGTAGTGATGATGTAATGTCCTGAACGGACATGCTCTAGTACAGCTGTCTGATCTCCTACAGCCTAATGTTCCCTCCAGATCCCTCTATCTAATGATACTTTGCTTTTAGATGTCCTGAGGTCCAGGCTGGTCCATGGAGGTGATCAGGTCTTTAGATGTCCTGAGGTCCAGGCTGGTCTAAAATAAAAATTGTGCAATTTTCCACAAAAAGTTATGAGAAGCTTGTGGAAGTACATACAGTATACCCAAAACTTTTCACCCAAGTCATACAGTTTTAAGGCAATTCTACTAAATACTAAAAAATGTATATAAACTTGACACTTTGAAGAAATAAATTAAACATAATGTCTCTTAATTTTGTTCACGAGTGAGGGAAGAATGGAGGGTGAGATTGACAGACGGATGGGTGCAGAGTCTGCAGTATTGCGGACTCTGTGCTGGTCCATTGTGGTGAAGAGGGAGCTGAGCTGCAAGGCAAAGCTCTCTTTTTACTGGTCAGTCTACGTTCCTACCCTCACCTATGGTCACAAACTCTGGGTAGTGACCGAAAGAATGAGATTGCGAATACAGGTGTTTGAAATGAGTTTCCTTCATGGTAGCTGGACTCTCCCTTAGAGATATGGTGAGAAGTTCAGTTAGAGACTCAGAGTAAAACTGCTGCTTCTTCACACAGAGGAGACAGTTGAGGTGGTTCAGGCATCTGCTAAGGATGCTCCCTGAGCGCCTCTCTAGGGAGATGCTACGGGCATACCCAACTGGGAGGAGACCCCGGGGAAGACCCAGGACATGCTGGACAGACTATGTCTCTCAGTTGTCCTGGGAACGTCTTGGAATCCTCTTAGAAGAGCTGGAAGAGGTGGCTGTGGAGAGAGATGTCTGGACCTCCCTGCTCAAGCTGCTGCCCCCGTGGCCCGACTTCAAAATTAGCAGAAGATAATGGATGGATGGATAGATGGATGGATGGATGGGTGTGTGTGTGTGTGTGTGGGTGGGTGG